GTGGTCCCAGATGAAGTCAATGACTTTTTTCTCTCGGACCTTTTCGAACGCTTGAGCTTCGACCCATTTGAAAAAATAATCGGTCATGAATAGTATAAACTGAGCCTTACCGGGTGCCCATGGCAGGGGACTGACGATGTCCATCCCCCACTTCATAAATGGCCACGAGGATAGGATCGAGTGGAGTAGCTCTCCTGGTTGATAGATTATCGGTGCGTGTCTCTAGTAGTCATCGCATTTTTGTACGAAGTCCTTCTCATCTTTCTCTATTTCGGTTCAATAATAGCTAGCCCTAATTAATTTCCTGACCAAAGATTCTACCCCCGAATGATTCTCGCAAGTACCTTCATGAACTTTTCTTAAGGAGTATTCGGTATCTCCCGGTCCCAATCATCTGGCTAGCGGGCCATCGAAGTTCTTCTGAATAGTGTCCCTTCGACCAGGCTAAATCTGGCAGCCTTGGTATGCAGGGCTCTCGATTCCTTGGAATCCAAGGGCAATTTCCCAGTCTTCAAATAGTCTATGTACTTCTTCCTCCAATCCTAGGTTAAACTCGTTGAGTTTACTTTGGCGTCCATTCCTTGAATTGATGCAACGTTACATATAATTAGTCTAAATACCTTCGCATTCGTTCCTCTTTCACTTCAAATGTTCCATTGACTTGATTCACCACGAGGAGGGAGTCGCACTTAGCTTCGATCACCTCGGCCCCAAAGTTCTTATCCAATTCGAGACCTGCAATCATGGCCTCATACTCAGCCTCATTGTTAGTCAATTTCACGGTTCTAATAGACTTCCTAACTACATTCTCCGTAGGTGGTTTCAGCACGATGCCAAGCTCAGACCCTTTTGTGCTCGAGGCATCGTCCATAAAAAGGGTCCAAATTCCCAAGGCAGTCCCCGAGGTTAATAATAATTCCCTTTCGACTTCGGGTATTAAGGCCGGCGTATAGTTGGCCACGAAGTCAGCCAAAATTTGAGATTTTATGGCAGTTCGGGGTCGATACTCGATATAGTACCCGCTGATTTCGACGGCCCATTTGGGCAACCAGCCCGAGAGCTCGGGTTTGTGCATGATATTCCTCAGTGGGTAAGAGGTTACGACACATATGGTATGGCATTGAAAGTACGGTTTTAACTTTCTGGAGGCTCTTAGCAAAGAAAGTGCAAATTTTTCCAGGTGAGGATTCCTTGTTTCGGCTTCTCCTAGAGTTCTACTGACAGAGTAAATAGGAAATTGCGTACCTTCCTCTTCCTGGACTAAGACTCCACTTACCGCCGCCTCGAAAATTGCCAAGTAAAGGTATAGTTGTTCGTCCGCCTTCGGAGTGTGGAGCAGGGGTGGACTCGATAGGTACCGTTTGAGTTCTTCCAAAGCTTGTTGGCATTTTGTAGTCCAAGAAAAGTTATTCTTCTTCTTCTTCAACAGTGAGAAGAACCGATGGCTTTTGTCTGAGGACCTCGATATAAACTGCCTAGGGCAGCTATACGCCCAGTCAGCCTCTGAATGGACTTGACGTTGTCCACCACGGTGCTTTGATTTTGTCAGAATTGATCTCAATTCCTCGATTGGATACCATGAAATCGAGGAATATTTCGGATCCGACCCCAAATGGGCACTTTTCTGGGTTCCGCTTCATATTGTATTTCTTCAATATGTCGAAGTTTTTGTGCAAATGTTTCAAGTGGTCCTCTTCTTGCAGGGACTTGACTAACATGTCGTCAATATAAACTTTCATTGATTTTCCTATATGTTCTTCGAATATTCGGTTTACTAGGCGTTGAAAGGCGACACTAACGTTCTTTAATCCGAATGGCATTACGTTATAACAATCGGTGCCGAATTTAGTGATAAAGAGCATCTTTTCTTGATCGCCCAGGTCTATCTGAATTTGGTTGTACCCTGAATAGGCATCGAGAAAACTGAGTATCTCATGCCTAGGTCCATCCCGAGTGGACCCTATTTTAAGGAGCTTAGATACCCCGTCCTTGATGAATGTATGCTTAACCTCAAATTGCGGTCTCCTCTTCTGCTTAACCGGATGGAATTTTGGGTCCAAGATCAGCTTATGAGTGGTTACCTCTGGCGGGATCCCTGTCATGTCAATATGGGACCAAGCGAAACAATCTATGTTAGCTATGAGAAATTCAATGAGTTTTTTCCTAAGCTTGAGAGTTAACCCCGTGCCCAGGTATATTTTCCAATCTGGAAAGTGATCGATCAATATGACTTGCTCCAACTCCTCGACCATCGATTTGGTGGCATCGGTATCATCAGAAGCTATGAATGATCTAGGAACTCCGTAATCATACTCCTCGCTCTTCCGGTTCGGTCGGGACAGGTATCGGTGATTGCTATTTAATTTCTTCCTTCCTGTTCGGCTCCGTGTTCTTCGATGTCGAGACCCTAGGCACTGGGATTACCTCGTCGACTGCAAATATTTCCTTTATAGCTGCCTACTCTTCGTAGACCGTCTTGATTCCTCCCGGCGTAGGGAACTTCCGTGCCTAGTGTAAGGTTGAGGGTACCGCCCTCATGTTATGAACCCATGGCCTTTCGAATAGGTCGGTGTACCTCGTGTCCCTTTCGATCATGTATAATTATGTCTCTTGGATCATCCTGGTGATGTTCACTGAGGGTTATTTCTTCTTTAATAGTTTCTCATGCCATGTTAAATTCATTCAACACCCGAACCGCCAGCACTATTTGGTCTTGTAACCCCAACTGCTCTACTACCCTCGATCTGATGATGTTGGCCGAGCTACCTGGATCAATCAACACATGTTTAACTCGAGATTTTATGATAAGTACAGATATTACCATTGTGTAACTAAATAGTTCCCTCCGGGACGTAATCTCGGGTGCGATTTTCCCTCGTGATGGATACTTTAGTGCACTTTATCATTGGCCCTTGGAGGACATCGACTCCTCCAATGATCATGTTGATGACGTTCTGAGGTTCTTCTTATTCGGTCTGTTTATTGGAGTCCCTGTTCCTGAAGTAGTTTTTGGCTCGATTACTCATAAATTCTCGAAGGTGCCCATTATTTAACATCCGGGCAACTTCTTCTCTCAATTGTCGACAGTCCTCGGTCCTGTGGCCATGAGTGCTATGATACTTACACATCATGTTGGGATCTCTCTAGGTAGGGTTGGACTGCAATGGTCGAGGCCACTTGGATTCCTTGATGCGCCCAATGGCTGATACGATGCTTGTTGCATCAACGTTGAAGTTATACTCTTATAATCTTGGTGCTTCCCTTACCCCGAACAGCCTGTCGAATCTATTTTTGCTCATCAGACCTCGGCTATTGGACCCTCAATCGCTTCCCTTTTCGTTCCTGGTGGGGTTGCGCCCGGAGCCGTTTTCCCTTCAATCTGCGTTGTATGGTTGATACCGATCTCGGACCGGCCTTGATTCATGATCGACGACTCTCTTAGACCTGTCGTCAGTTCTGATGGGATAAACGGACCTGGAAAGGGCTTCGAGTTGGTCGTCCTCGACTCTGATTTTTGACTAGTACTTGTTGTGGACGTCGTCCCAAGTTACCGCCAGGTACTTTACCAAATTTTATTTTAGCCGTTGCGAAGCCAAAGAGCTTCGGGGGTTAAGTCCTTGAGTGAATGCCTGAACGGCCCAATCATCCGCAACCTGAGACAAGTCCATCCGCTCCATTTGAAGCCTTAACACGAACTCCTTGAGCATCTCGTTGTCTCTTTGCTTAACCTTGAAAAGATCCGATTTTTTGGTCTCGATGTTGATGGCCCCGGCATGAGCCTTCACAAAAGCATCTGTGAGCATAGTGAATGAGCCAATAGAATTTGGGGCTAAGTTTTGGTACCATTACGTTGCTCCATTTGACAGAGTTTCTCCGAACTTCTTTAGTAACACCGACTCGATTTCATCGTCGCCTAAGTCATTGCCTTTGATGGCACATGTATAGGAGGTCACGTGCTCATTTGAATCCGTGGTTCCATTATATTTTGGAATATCGGGCATACGAAACTTCTTCGGGATTGGCTTTAGTGCCGCGCTCGGAGGGAATGGCTTTTGGATAAATTTCTTGGAATCTGGTCCTTTCAATATCGGGAGTGCTCCCAGCATTTGGTCGACCCTGGAATTATATGTTTCCACCTTCTTGTTATTGGCCTCAATTTTCTTTTCACCTGATCCACCGACTTCGTTAATGCTTCAAGCATTCTCATAACTTCGGGACTGATCCCGGACCCAGCTTCACCCGGTCTCTCGGTGATCTGCTCATTTCTTTGGATGTTCTCCCGGGACGGTTCGGGCTCAACTCTGCTGGAGGTGTGGCTTTGATTTTGCAGCTGCGCTATCGCCGCCTGTCAAGCCTGTAACATTTCGAAGAAGAACCGTAGGCTAACCCCATCACCTTCGTCTTCGGGCGCTTCTCGAGCTGTTGGTCGGGGTCCTCCACGGATGCTGTTTTCGGGATCAATTGGCAGGTTGACATCGATGGCCACTTGTGAGTTAGTATCGACTTGGTCAGTAACTGGACTCCATTAGGATCGGCAGGAGATACCTCGTTGCTAGGCACCAGATTGTTGTTTTCGCCATGATTGCCATACTCGGCGTCAACGTTCAGGTGGGCGGACTGAGAATTTGACATTTTCTAAACTGACCTGAAATTAAGACTTTAAAGAACTAGCATCAAATGGAGTGTGTTATGTAGATTTGTATCAAATAACCACTATTATCCTTAGCCGCACGATGGGCGCCAAACTATTTACCCTTAAAACGGATAACAATTAAATTTATACGCGGTTTTAAGGATATGTGGATTGATTCAACATGAGTAATCAAGAATGTTAGATAAACGAATTAAAGATAAAATAAATAACAAAACTAGTTGTGACGTTAAGGGTCGGGCTCGAAGTTAAGCTGAACAGTAGTTTTGCCCTTAGCCGTACCCTTGGTTCGAAGCTAGATGTATATGAAGAACAACAATTAAAATAAGAACTTTTCAATAGCTAAAAAGCAGAGAAATAAGTTTGTATTGTCTTGATATGCGTGTTACAATATTTGTTATCAAACAAAAACTTCTCATTTATATAGTAGGAGAGTTTCACCCCTAGTATAAGTCTAAAAAGATAAAAATCCTCCTTTCACGTTAATTACTTATCTGTAACCGCCATCGAGCGAGATCCGCGCCATGATATCCGGTTGGTTCCGGATATCACGGCCCTCTGTCTCTCGCTTGCAACCGTTCATGCGCTTCCGGAAGTCTCAGAACTCATTTCAGGTCCGGGGCGCGTTGTTTTATCAAGTCCACTGGCGAGCACTCCGTTCGGGCTTTGGTACAAGACGTTCCCGGCTTCGATTTCGATCCCATGTATTCATATCCTTGCTTCGTTTGACCCACCGAGAAATCGGGGTGTATGTTAGCCCCGGTTTCACCCGTATACCGCTATTATTTTTTTATTTCTTAAATTTCATGAATCAAATACGGTCCCAAAAAAAAAAGAAGAAATGGAGGAAGTAATAAACTATTTGTGCACGTAAGTTAAACTCTTTATAAAACAGGGCAAAAGAGCATACCGATCTATTAGAACTTTTGCCATGGATTGGCATCCACCAGGAATGGTGGATTGTAGATTAACAGCAATATTTGGATTGTGGATACTTTGTCGAAGGTGAACCCATCCATGTTCCCCATTTTGTTCATCTGAAACTTTGGCCCTGAATTGTAATCAACATTTTCAAATTTCCGACAAAGTATAGTGTTAATCTTTCTTAAAATTACAATCTTGTATATATATACCTGTACATAAAAGCATCAATTGCAGCAGGATCATCATTAGTGTCCACAAGACAACCATCACTTACCCAGCAGTCTCCACAGGCGTCAAGTTCCCATCCTGGTAAGCTTCCTTGCTACAGGTGAACGAACACACATTTCTTTAATATTCATTTCTTTTTCGATAGAAACTTTGAACTAACAAAGAGATATGATGTACCTCAATATGGGTTCTGAATGCTTCGATGGCTTCAACTGCTTTTGCTTTAGCATTTCTAGGCTCAGAAAGAACAATCATTCTGACTTCTGCCGACTCCAATGGCTCTTCAAGATCCTCTATAAGACTTCCAATGTCGCCTTCTGATCCCTCAAGCTTCATTCTTACCATTTCAATTATAATTTTCACTACCATGTATGCACCTGCATGCAATGTTTTAAAAGAATTAAGGCATAAAATGGAATTAACCATGCATGCAAGAATAGACTTACCATCATCAAGAAAGTGATTTTCTTTCAAAGCACCATGGCCACTCGTTTCCATCATGAGATGTGTTTCAATGCCATCCTTGTTAAGATTGACACCCTTGTCAATCACATTCCTATAACCAACTCTATACAAGCAATGTTGACCTCCTTTATTCGTAATAAATTTAGTTAAGGCCATACTCGTGCGAGCATCAGTTACAATGGTTGTACTAGGGTGTTCCTTGAGAACAATTGCTGACATAAGTGCAATGAGCCGGTCACCATTAATGGGATTTCCTTCACTGTCCACAACGCCGCTCCGGTCGACGTCTGTGTCGAAAACAATGCCGAGATCAGCCTTGTTTTTTAGCACCCCGGCTCTGGTTAAAGCCATGGCTGTCTTGTCCTCCGGGTTAGGAATGTGATTAGGGAACATTCCATCTGGATTTAGGTGGAGAGAGCCAAATGTGTCTGCACCAAGCTTGTCTAACACATCCCAGGTAAAGAACCCTCCTGATCCATTTCCCGCATTAACAATAATCTGCATTTTGCCACCTTTCGTCACTTTATAAAAAATAAAAAATTTAGCTAAAATAACCTACTTCCTCTACACGCCTTCATCGATGTTGTTTTTTGACCGGAAGGCTGAGAGCTAATCGAGACTTTGGACTATCCGGACACATACTTGGTTCATGCATGTTTGTTGCCAGGAGCAATAAGATCAAATTGGTAAGGATTAACACTTCATTTCTATAATGACCCGGCCGGTCGTTTTGAGCATTGATGTTCCGTTCGGTGGTTTGAGGTCTCGAATAGCTTCATATGATGCATTATGACTTACGCGTATGGTCGGTTGTGGTCTTCGAGTTGTTCGAAATTGATTTGGGAGAATGATTCTCATTTTAGAAACTTTAAGTTGTAAGTGTTGACCAAGTTTAACCTTTGTGTATTTGACCTTAGATCAGAGTTTCGATGATTCTAGTAGGTCCGGATGGTGATTTAGAACTTAGGCGTATGCCCGGATTTGCATTTGGATGTTTCTAGAAGGTATTGGCACTATTTGGCGAAAGTTGGCAATTTGAAGGTTTGGAATGTTCATAAGTTTGACCAGGAGTTGACTTCGATGTGATCAGGTTCGGATTGTTGTTTCGGAAGTTAGACTATGTTCGTTATGTCATTTGAACTTGTGTGCAAAATTTGAGGTCATTCCGAGTTGATTTGATGTGGTTCGGTAGGAGTTTTGGAAGTTGAAAGTTCAATAAGTTTGATTTGAGGTACGATTCGTGATTTTAATATTATTATGTATGATTTGAGTCCACGAGTAGGTTCGTGTTGTATTGTGGGACTTGTTAGTATGATCGTACGGGGTTCTACGGGGCTCAAGGGTGAGTTTCGGATGAGTCTCGGATCATTTTCATGTTTTTGGATAAATCTGGTTCTGGTGTTTCGCATATGTGCATAATGGAGTGCAGATGCGGGTACTGCTTCTGCGAGGTTTGAGTCGTTTCTGCGAGATTTTGGCATGTTCAGGTGTTTCGCTTATACGGATGAAGGATCGCAGGTGTGGTGGTCGCATCTGCGGTATATGGATCGCAGATGCAAGAATGAGGCATGAGTTGAGTGTCCGCTTCTGCGGTAGTATTTGCGCTTCTGCGATGTCGTAGATGCGGTAGCAATTGCGCGGGTGCGGTTCTTAGTCTGGCAAGTTGAAGTCGCAGATGCGATCTTTGTTTCGCAAAATGCGAGAGCGCAGGTGCGCGAGTTGGTCTGCAAATGAGGAAATGCCTGGGCAGATTATATTTAATTCGAGAGTTTGTTTATTTTATCACATTTGGAGATTTGGAGCTCAGTTTTGTGTGATTTTGGAGACCACATGGATTGGGGTAAGTATTTTTTTTACTCGATTTTAATTATATTCCATCTTCAATTTTGGCATTTGATTGATAATTCTAAAAGGGAAATTGAGGGTTTTTGTCTAAACTATCCTAAAGAGAATTATTGAGTTTTGAACATCGATTCGTAGTCGGATTTGAGTGAAATTAGTATGGTTGGACTCGTGTTCGAATGAGTTTTCGGAATTCATGAGTTTTGTTGGATTCTGAGGCGTGGGCTCGAGGTTGACTTTTTGGTTGACTTTGAGTAATTGATTAAAGATTCGACTTTTATCGCTTGGGTTTGTTTCCTATGGCACTATTTGATATTTTTGAGTTGCTTTTTTCTAGTTTCGAGCCGCTCAGAGGTGGATTCGCGCCGGATGGCATTTCTAGAGTATTGTTTGACTTGCTCGATATTTGATTTGGCTTGTTCGAGGTAAGTAACATATCTAAACTTAGATTTGAGGGTTATTATCCCTGAGAACTATGATATTTGTGATAGGTTGGGGTGATGCGCGCGTGCTAGGTGACGGACGTGTGCATGCACCGAGGTATTCATGATCCAGATAGTTCTTAGGCTATTATGTGCCTTGTTTTGCTATCATGCTTATTTGATATCATGTTTTCTCCATCTATATTACTGCGTGAGATATTATTCATGCTTAAAAATCATGTCTAGTCCACTTGCTTAGTTGTTTGAGATATGTTAGGGCTATTTTCGTCATGTTGAGCTATTTGCCTTTACCGTAGTCATACTGTACAGTCATGATAGTTACATCCGCATGTTATATCTCTGTCTCTGTGCACTTTTGATATGTTGTCTTACATGTTATTGGTGTCCTTGTACGTGACACGAGATTAAGCTGTATTTGAGGTATATTGTGATATTCTGTGTTATATAATTTGATTATGTATCCGTGAGATGTGAACCATTGAGACTTGAGAGGATTGATGACAGATGTAGGCCGTAGAGCCATATTGTGAGTTATGTTGGATCGAGTTGCACGCCGTAACAGTTATATTGATATTGAGGTGGCGCATATGCCAGGCCCCACATTAGGCTAAGTGGCACTGATTTCGAGGCTATGCGTGCACGAGGCCCCACGATTGGGCTATGTGATTATGATTAGCGCTTGGACATGATCCGCCCCTCCGAAGTCTGACATGCCAGCAGTGGGCACAGGCACAGTATATATACACGTGCTTTGGTGAGGGGCTATTGAGCCAGGCACTTGTATAGCGCTGAGTGATTGTGTGTGCGATGTAGTGGGGCATTCGAGCTAGGCACCTTGAGTGTGCTGAGAGTGAGTGTACTTGATGATATCACTATGAAATTATTAACTTGACATGTATATTTGACATATAGATATAGAGATGTATTTTCCTCATACTAGACGGTAGTATGACATTAGATAATTTGACATGTATATTTAATATGTAGGCATAGAGATGTATCTTCCTCATGCTAGACAGTATATAAAATCATTTAATGACTTGACATGTGTATTAACATGTAGGTATAGAGATGTACTTTTCTCTTGCTAATTGGTAGACGTAAGTCTTATTTGATGTTGGAAATTGGAAAAATACAGTTCTTTAGATTAACTCATGTTTAATTTATTTCAGTGGTAAGGTTTGGACTTGGACGGTTATACTTGAAAAGCATGTCTATTTTTTCGTAACTGTGAACGAGCTGAACATAATATATCTTAAGTTATTTATTTTTACTGTCTCCATTATATTATTATAAATTGTTATTGGCTATTGGTGTTGGACTCTGACCGTCTTCCGAGCGCGTCACTACTTTCAACTTGAGGTTAGGTTTGTTACTTATTGAGTACATGTGGTCGGATATACTCATACTACACTTCTGCACCGTGCGTTCAGATCTTGGAGTTGATGCTGCTGTGTATGGTGGGAGCTAGTATTAAAGGTGTACCTGCTTTCCGGATATAGCTACCACATGTCCTAGGTAGTTTTAGAGATTGTATTCTATTTATGTACATTCCAAATAGATATTGTATTATTTCATACCAGCTTTATAAATCTAAGTCTTAGTGGATCGTGACTTGTACTACCAATCCTTGGATTATTGTATAAAATTCAGTTATTTCACTTGTTGACTCTTATCATTGTTATTAGAATTGTGTTGATTGTTAGTTGGCTTATCTAGCGGATTGGGTTAAGTGCCATCACGACTAGGCGGATTTTGAATATATATTATACACTAATTATATATTTATTATACACATATTATATAGAAAAATAGGCATGAATAAAGGATTATAGTTACTACGATGGGTATTGAGAAAAGTATATATAACATGTATATATTATGCTTGCGTATTTGTATGAAAGGTGTATCTACACTGATATAATGCATACACATTATTTATGCGCATTCAGTGTACATATAATTTTATATATATTATGTATATGAAGTGTATATATACTATATAACTTATAAGCAGCGCATATAGAACTTATAATATATACATAAAATGTATAATTAATATGTCATGTGTATGTAAAGTACATGATCTATCTCCGACAAACACTCTCATTCTTTCTTTCCTTTTCTCTTCTAGATCGTATTCTTTGAGTTCAATTAATATTTTTTCTTTTACTTGCTGAAGGGGGTTTCGGTAGCTGTGCTATTTTTTTTTTTGTGACAGTTTATTTTGTATTCATTCTGACTGTTGCTTTATTTTTTTCCTCTTTTAGATCTTAATTATTTTGGATTGATGATAAAATTTTAGGGTGGATGAGGCTGGTCCACGAGTAGGTGAGTATAATTTTTAATAATCAATTTTTAGGGGTGTGGGTGGCGGTTGTGGCAGTGCTATGGTGAAATATATATATATATATATATATTTATAGTTTTAACCGAGTGTCCGGATGGAATGGCACCTCGATCCTTCTACATAGATCCGCCCCTGGATGGCGATGCAATGGGATGAGGTGGTGTTACCGTATTTTTGGAGTTACTGCATTTTAAGAGTTGCACTGTACTGACAATTCTAATGTCTTTTTAGGCTACTAAATGTATATGAAATCTTATGTTTACCGGATGTAATAAGTTTGCGGCGGGTGGCCACATGATTTTTTGTCTCAATAGTATTTGATGGTTGGAACGGGCCTTAGAGTGACGGTCCGCAGAAAACCCAAAAAGGGATAAAGCTAGGCCCAAATATATGTCCAGCTTTTAATTAATGAAAACGGATCCTTAGCTTTTATGGTCAATATTGCCCTGTACTTAGATAAGGTTGCTGTGGCTATGCATGCATGGCTGACTCTCACACAGGCAAGAAAACAAAACAAACTTAAGTACTCCAACAAATGTTGACAAAGACCAAAACAGCCTATAATGAAGTTTGAAAGAGTTGAGGAAGAAGAAGAGAAGAACCTGAAATCCTTTGAGAGGAGTGTCATAATGGGAAGGATGGTTCACTCTTTCCTTTATAATTTCTCGTAGATGCTTCGCGTAAGCGCTCATAAAATCCACCATTGTCGGCGTTATTGGCAGTCTCGTTGATACTTTAGCAAGCCTGTTTGCGTATTTTCGAGCTGCTTTGTCGCATATTTCCTCCACTTCTGGTGACGTTAAACCTCCCTTTTTCGTGAAGAATTTAAGACCGTTTCGAGTGTAGGGTAAGTGGGATGCAGTCATCTGCATGCAAAACACAATACTTTAGCTTTTATTGTTTCCATTTTGGAAGAATCTAATCTAATTTTAAGTTTAAGATAACATAACTGAAGTTATCAGTCAAAGGCTGAAATTGATAAAAAATATTTCAAATAATAACTGAAGTAACTCATCACAATTTAACCACGTTAATATGATTTGATACAACAAATCAACCAACAATGGTACGTTGTGGTGGAATGGTAAGTTTTCCTTCATCATTAACCAGAGCTTTCGGGTTCGAGCCCTGAGTATGAAGCAGTCGCCTTTGTTAGGGAGCACTTTAAACCCCTCCCCCACCCCCAACGTGAGACTTTCTGGTGTGAATCCGGCTTGGTCGGACCCCAATGCGGGTACCGGACACCCGGCGGAAAATCCAAAATAAGATACAACAAATCATACAAACAATACAAAATATGTAACTAATATATTAGCTAATTAGCAGATCAATTTTCTTATAATGAATACTATGGCTGTGTTTATACGACATGACGATCGAGATGCATATAAATCGGGATACTTTAGCTTAATTTGCAATAATTATGCTTAGAATAAGTGGTAATTTCTGCTTTGGAATGTATATTACAGTTTTCTTTCTTTTGGAACAAAGTTATGGTATCAAAATTTTCCAAATTAAGACATGTGAGAATAAGAAAGTTTGTCATAAAGCTGTACAAGTACTTCTTAAAGAGGTTAAATTCCGTATTAATATGACTACTAACAACATGAAACAGTTTATAGCAATCTTAATTTGGTTTCATAGAAAATCAATCAGTTAAGATGCATCTTGTAAATTTTTTGTAGCGTTAGTGTATATATATTATATTAATAAAAAATTAACACTAATGCAATCCATCAATATTATACCATTATTGAGGCATCATATTGAAATGGAGGAAGAATAGTGCTCATGAAGCAAGCTGGTGTTGTTGCAAGTCCCATGTCAAACACCATGCACCCAGCCCTAGAAAGCCCTGCAAATACAGCCACACTCAACATATTACCCGAAATTCGAGGGTCTTTTCCGAGAGAAACCCTAACACCTTTCTCCTTCTCCAATCCATTAATCACCCATTCACCAAAACTTTCTGCTATTGCCTCAACAGCAGGCGGTGTAAGATCCACACTTCGACCTTTTTCACCTTGCAAAGCAACCCCACGAACGTCGGATCCGTTTTGTAGCCTTTTAATCTTATCCATTTCTTCAACGTCATTATACTTTGCAGTGCTACAAGACTCTACTCTAAGAGAAGATTTATTCAAGGAAATATGTAACTTCTTGTGAATTGGTTTATTCATTGGTAGAGAAGGGAAGTTGGTTCTTGAAGCATTAATGGTTTGAATAGAATGTGATGGGTTAGGAGTGGAAGCCATTGCTATGCACAACTTGGCGCTCTATCTTTTGGACCAAAAATAAGAAGCTTGGAGAGATAAGAATTGACTCAATGAACTATTAGCCTACACTTGTGTTTCCATCCAAGGGAAAATATCTTTCTACAAACTTCAAAATAATGACTGATATTTTTCTTGTTTTATTCAAGGCATATCCTCTGGTTCAGGAAGAGCATGTGCCTTTTGAAATATTTACTCAAGTAGAACAAGGATTTTTTCCTACTACACAATAACAAAAGAGAAAATATCAGGACTGAGAAAAACGCAAAGACCAGATTACTGCATAGCCCAATTCAAACCACTCCCTAAGAAATACTCCCTCTATTCAAAAATAATGATGTGATTCGAAAAACAAGGGTTAACCTATATAATTTTGTCAATTTGGAAATTAATTCCTTGGTATTCGAATAGAAAATTTACCAATAGACATGTTATACAAAATGTTTACCCGTCAAACGGTACAGTTGAATTTGTAATGTGGTTTATAGACACTTCAATTAATTTGATCCAAGAATATAAAATAATTAACAACATAAATAAATTGAATTAAGAAACTTGAAGAAAATACAAGCCTGACTGTGAGACGAGCCTCTCTAGAAGCAAGAATAAAGACAATATGTAGAACAACAAAATAGAGAATTTTGTTAATAGAATACGAGCAATTTTAGCTTTTTTGCGTATGGATATTTAGTCGTCTACAATGAATATAGATTCTTCTATTTATAGCTCAATTTAAGGAGACAAGATCCCCAAATCAAGCTCTTCTTTAATATGAATAAAACCCCTCTTGATGGCTGCATAACGGTTGAGTATAAATACAATGATTCTTTGTAATGGCTTCTCATTGAATGCTGCCCTTTCCAACCGATATCTTCCTTTCAAACTTTTGCTCCTGGTTCCAGTGTCTTCGAAACTCATTCAGCACCGCTCACATGTTCGTAACTGATGTCAGCTATTTGTTGACTCCTATCTTATTTGTCTTCACTATCACGTGTCAACTTGACGAACATCCACCTGTCATTTATTAATTTTACCCATACAGATATCCCCCTACTTTCCGGTGACTAACTTCTATGTTACGGGGAAGTAGATAAGACCTCTATTCTTGGCGGGAAAAATCTTGAACGATTTCTGACACTTGAAAGGACGCACGTTTCCTTGCATTTAATGAGCCGAACATATGTTATCCCGTGATTCGGCAAATAATTTCACCAGTTTTCTAGGTAATGATGACCATGAACTCTGCCACCTATAAGCTTCTCCACTTCTCACAATTTTTATCTTTCACATTTACAAACTCTTGTTCTTCGAATTACCTTTAAGATTTTCTGCAAACCTTCCTTTCTTAGTAAAATTTTCTTACTCAGATTTTCCATCATCATGTCTTCTACTACCTCCCTGGTAACTTAGGCATTTACATCGGTGGTGGCCCTTCTAAAAAGCAAAAAATCAAGGAAGCCGATGATGGTCCTCCAACTGCCAACACAATCATTCCCTCTCAACTAAATTTTGAGACGGATCTTCAACTACAAAAGGAACCTTTCAACCCTAAAAATGACAAAAATTGGTTCGTTAGTAGATACCCTTCTTCCATTCGTCTGGCTAGTATCCCTATTGTGAAAGAAGATTGTGACTGGAAATACATTGAACTTTTAGCCCCTAATGAAATGGAAAGGGTCACTTTCAGCAAGCCAAGATTCATGTACATTTACACGTACCCTTTTACTTTAAGAATGAGCCGAAAAATCCATCCCATTATTTTTGAGTTTTGCAATAACTACCAAATTTGCTTCGCTCAGGTAGGTCCGTCAATATGGCGAACGGTAGCTTTTATTCGGGTACTATGCTCCCGAGCCAGTGAAACCCTCACTCTTGCTCATCTGATCAACCTCTATTCCCCAAAGATTTTCTGAAGAGGCATGATCAAACTCAGCAAATGCGGTAATCATGCCATCATCACCAGTGTTGATGATGATAACGATCGCGGTTGGATGGAAAGGTTCTTTGTCATTGATACTAGGGACATTCTTCCAGCGACAACACCTTCTTTCCTTGAATCTTGGAACCTTACTTGTAAGTTTTTTAAATATCATTTTTCTACTATGTTAAAGAAAATCCCCTTTTTTGCTAACTTTTATTTCTATTATTTCAGCTACCCGTTGGGTTCCTCCATCGGTTCTGAACCTGACCCAATGGGTACAGAAGATTTTAGATATTTCCATGATGGATTTTAGTAAGTGGAAAGAAATTTCACTCAAATTCAACTGGAAGGCCGAGAACTATGGTAAGTATAACTTCTCTTTTTTCTTTTCAATTTCCAACATGACTTAGTATAAATTTGTTGACTCCCTTTCATAATACACAGGCCTTCCAAAGGGGTTTTCCGTCTGTCATGTTGTTGAGGTTTCCCATGACCCAATGGTGGCTCATCTTCCCTGAGTCCCTAGTCTAAGGAAAAAAATAAAAAAAGAAGACGTACCTCCAAGGCTGAAATTCAGGAGAAGCCTTCTACAATAGAAACCCCAGTGGGACCGATCACAGTGGCCATTGATGAAGAAACACCGAGGATGATGATGAGGTAGTTTCTCTTCAAAGAAGAAGAAAAACTCCCCCTACTCAACCGGACGCTCAATTGGAAGTCATTCGAGGACTCTTTACAGAAATGTAAATGGTTGAAAACACAAAGTCCCATTTTTGAGACCCAATTGTCGCTTCCGGCCAGAGGAGTTCTACCTCTGACATTCCTCCACCTCCAATTTCAACAACCAGCTGCAGCACTGTCAGCTCATGCATCTTCGCCGGCCCCAACTGAACAAATGGAATATGTTCGCTCCCCTCGGCCACCCGATCACGGGAGCATTGAGAATATTTTCCCGGCACCTATCTGAAACCCCGATAGTAAACGTAATGTCACTCTTTTGGTTTCGAATGAGTGACACTTACTCTCAAATCCGGTGGGAGTTGCCAACTACTTGAAGCCTTTGGCTTCGAACAAAAACTAACAAAAGATGGGAGCTCTTTCTGCGGAGTGTCTGATCAATAGCAACCACTTTGCTACTCATGTATCATCTTGCTCTTCTTTTTTTCCCTTTCCTTCGCTAAAAATTATCCTCAATAACTTTAATGTTTGACTTTTCAGGCTAACCTTCTTGCCTCCGAGGAATTGCACAAGATGATCCAAGCCAAAGAAGAACTTGCTCCCGAGCGGGATTAAATTGCTGTTGAACGAGATCAACTCGCTGAGCGTCTCCCGACTTTAGAGGCAAGACTTGCTCAGATGGACGAGCTTAAAGCCCGATTAGAGCAATCAGAGCAAGAAAAGATGGTTCACAACCAAAGGCCACTCAGTTGTAGGTAGAATTTGAGGAATTGAAAGCCAAGTGGGCTGAGTTGTAGGATACTAGGCAAGCCAAAGTTAGCTAAATTTACTTAACTAGTTTTAACGATTCGAATCAAAACATTAACAATAATATTTGTAATAGTCTGAAATAGAGTGATATAATACTGAATAACATAATCTAAACATATCCCAGATTCTGGAGTCACAAATACATGAGCATCTAGAGTGCTAAAGATAAAGTCTGAACAAAATATAATTATTTTAAAGCTAAATAAACAGTAATGATAGAATGGAAGGGGACTTCAGGACTGAGGACACCATGCAGCTATACCTCAAGTCTCCACAAGTAGCTGAATTCGAGCAGTCTCACTACGCACCGCTAGGATCAACTCTGGTATCTGCACAAGAAGTGCAGAAGTATAGTATGAGTACAATCTACCCCATATACCCTGTAAGTGCCAAGCCTAACCTCAACGAAGTAGTGACGATGCTATGGTAGGTCACTCACAAATAACATGTGAAAAATAATAATAACAGGAGAAAAAGGAATAGAATAGAGCAATAAACTCATGAAACGGATCTGAATACCAACTACCAGAGAGCCCTGAATAACAAAGCCTCAAGCCTCATATTACAATACTAAAAATGATTCTACAATCTCAAACAAGTATAATACAACATATCAAATCCGTTGCGGCATGCAACCCGATCCGACCATATCATCATTTGTTCATATCATAATCTGGCCTTATTCCTTCTTATCTTTCAATATTGTTCAGTACCATTGCAGCGTGCAACTGTACCCCAAACAATGTCAAACAATTAACTCATATAACTCAACAAAGATACTTGCAAAGTAACAACACAGAGGGGTGAAATGTATAAACAATAAAAAAATGCAATATAAACGGGAATGTCCAACCTCTCAAAATCTCAAACAATGGAAATAGGAAAAATAGGTAACAATTAAAATATACAATTAAAGCAAATTGAAACAAGTAGCATATAAGCAGAAATTGCACGGGAAATGAACAAATCAAGGCAAGTAGCAGTTAAATAACAAGTAACAAATATTACATAGATGTCAAGTAAAAATGTGTTACAATTAAAGCATATAACACAAAATAACATGGAACAAATGAAAACATGGAAGTAAATACTCCAATCCCGCATGCTAAATCCCGTGATGGTGCATATACACTCGTCACCTCACATATATGCCACTTCCCCCCATAATACACATAACAAATACTTTAACAAGTCCTAATTCCCTCAAGTCAATGTTAGACACAATACTTACCTCACTCCGCAACCAAATCAATGCCCAACCGTGGCTTTTCCTTTAGACTTAGCCTCCAAACCAATCAAATCTAGCCAAATATAGTTCAAATAATTCAAAATAGCCTTTAGAAACTACCCACGAATGAAAAAGATTCAATCTTTAATGATTTTGGAAAAAGTCAATAAAAGTCAACCCCATGCTTGCTTGGTCAAAACCCGAGATTCGGACCAAAATCCAATTACCCATTCACCCATGAGCTCGGTTATGTGATTAGTTTCGAAATTCGACCTCAATTTGAGGTCTAAATCTCAATTTTACAAAATTCCCAATTTCCGCCCAAATCCCTAATTTCTACCATGAAAAATCCTAGATTAAAGGTTAAAATCAAAGGGTGTTTATGGAAATGTAATGAAACAAGTTAAAATTTACTAACGAATGAAGTGGGGATGAAAAACCTCTTCAAA